TGAGCAAAAAATGAAAAGTTTAAGGCATCACACTACCAGATATCATAATGTATGATAATCAGAACAAATCTATGATATCAAATCTCTGATAATCAAAACAGCATGGTACTCATATAAAAGCAGACATATAGACCAGTGGAATAGAATAGAGAACACAGAAATAAATTCACATATTTATAGCCTATTGATTTTTGACAAAGACACCAAGAACATACCCTGGGAGAAAGGACAATAACGTTCAATAAGTGGTGCTGGGAAAACTGGATATTCATACGCAGAACAATGAAGCTAAGCAGACCCCTATCTCTTACACATTAAAAAATCAAAACAAAATGGATTAACCCCTTAAACATAAGACCTAAAGGTACGAAACTAGTAGGAAAAAGCACAGGAGAAGTGCTTCAGGATATTGGTCTGGATGAAGACTTTATGGCGAGACCTCAAAAGCACTAGGAGCAAAAGCAAAAGAAACCAATAGGGTTATATCAAACCTAAAAGTTTCTGCACGGAAAAGAAAACAATCAGCTGAGCAAAGAGATGGACTGCAGAGTGGGAGAAAATATTTGCAAGCTATTCATCCAAGAAGAAATGAATGTCCTGAGTATACAAGGAACTCAAACAATTCAACAGCCAAATACTCAAATAATCCAATTTAAAAATAGGCAAATTATCTGAACAGACACTTCTCAAAAGAAGATATACAAATGATCAAGTATATAAATAACTCTCAATATCACTATTCCTAAGATAAATGCGAATAAAATCAAAATAAAATATCTCAACCCAGGTAGACTGGTTTTTATCAATAAGACAAAAAAAGAATAAATACAGATGAGGATGCAGAGAAAAGGGAACTTTATACACTGTTGGTGGAAACAAAAGTACTACAGCCACTATGGAAAACAGAATGAAGCTTTCTCAAAAACCTAAAACTAGAACTATCATATGATCTAGCAATCCCACTACTGGGTATTCAAAGAAAAGGAACCCAGTATGTTAAAGAGGTATCTGCACTCCTATGCTTATTGCAGAGCTATTCATAACAGCCAAGGTATGGAATCCTCCTGAGTGGCTGTCAGTGAATGAATGGATAAAGAAAATGTAGTAACTAAACACAATGGAATACTGTTCATCCATAAGAAAGAATAAAATTCGGCCGTTCATGGCAATGGATGAGCCATTATCTTAAGAGAAATGAAGCCAGGAAAAGAAAATTAAACACAGCATGTTCTCACTCATTTGTGGAAGCTAAGAAAACTTAGTTAATCTCAAAGAAGTAAAGAGTACAACAAAATATAGTAGAGGCTGGGAAGATTAGGGGGGATGAGAAATGGGAAAGGTGGGGCAGTGGGTACAAAATTACAGCTAGATAGGAGAAATGAGTTGTAGCCTTCTCTAGCACTATAGGATGACCATAGCCACAAAAAAAATTGTATACTGTCAAATAGCTAAAGGAGAGGATGTTGAATGTTATCAACACAAAACAATGATAAGTTTTTGAGGTGATGGATATGGTGTTTACCTTGATTTAATCATTGCACATTACATACATGTGTCAAAATAGTCCACTGTGCTCATACATATGTAAAATAATTGTGTCAAAAATAAAATTGTTTAAATTAAAAAGAGAGTAAAGAATACATTACCAAAATTAAAAACAAACTCCAAGAAAATACTATAGTTATACTTATATCCCTATGTGTTAATCTGAAAAGATGGCTGGGGCATGTAAGGGAAAACAATTGTAGGAGGGTATCTGCAGTATGATCTTATTGGTGCAAAGTAAGAGACTATGTGTGTGTGTGGTTGCATGTGTGTGTTCCTGCACCTATTTCGTTGGAGACAGTTGCTGCCATCTGCCAGTTACAACTCCTCCAAGGTGCAGAATGGGAAAAGCTGTCTCCTTCTCCTCAAAACCTCAATACAGCATAATGTGTTTCTCTGGGGTTTCGAAGGTTCCAAATGGTCAGGATGGAAAGAAGGGTGACAGAGTTGCATTGGCGAAAGTGAAAATAAAACAGGTAATGTGATTTTAAAAGCAAATTGGATGCTATTCCTAGGTAACAGAAATATATTTATGTGCCATTCTTTTTAAGAATGAAATGGCATTATTAGAGAGGAATCAGTATAATATATATGTGTGTAAATATAGAGCACACAATATATATTGTGTGTGTACATATGTATATAATGCATACACACGTATTTGCTTAGTTTCCTGGCTGCCTCAGGAAAGAAAAGTCCTAACTTCCATCCCCTTCTTGTGGCTGAGTTGTCCCTTAGTGATCGTGAAATACATCCATGATTAGTAAATTAATTTGTGCACCCCTTTGTCTTCATTCTACAGCTAGAACAAGCATGTTCCTCTTCCCAGAGTCAAAGGAAGAGGATTGAGCTGGAAAGAGGATTTTTGGGTAATTTTGGCAATCCATGCCACCCCTGTCAGCCTCAGTTGACTGAAGTGTGGAATGGGGATTTACACTCTCTGCGACTCCTAGAGTGCTGTGATGATCCAAAGTGACAGAAAGCTCCAGCAGTCACAGACTGCTGGGTTACAGAAAGGGATACAGAAAGCAGTCACACTGGCCCTCTGCCCTTGTGATAAGGCCGCCTCCTGCTGCTAGCACCCAGGGCAGCTGGAAAAGAGGCCAGGGGAAGGCTCGCCTGAGCACTAAGAGAAGAGAGAGGCCTCAAATATGCTGAGAAGCCCATGCACTGTCCTCAGGGTGTGTGCATGGCCTCCACTGTGCACCTCTTTGAAACAGGAGAATCCCCTGATCTCCTTCACCTGGTGTATGATGGGGGTGTGGCTCACCTGTGTGGCTGCCCCACTACTCAAACTCCTAGGGGGAGCATGCAGATGGGCAGGTTCAGAGGCTGGGGTGAGTGCTTTGGGCTCTGGTCCTGCAGTAGTGTCGAGAAACTGGTGCCTGTAAACCTGTTGTTACAAAGCTCTTTCAGCTTTGCCGTATACAGATGGCTTGTGTGTTAATCAACTGAATGGACCCTCTGCCTTATCACAAGGGCAGAGGGCCAGTGTGACTGCTTTCTGTATCCCAAGAGTTCTTGCCCAGCATCCTGGAAGAATCCAATCACAGGCAGGCTAGAAGGATGAGTGCAAGGTTTTATTGAGTGGTAGAGGTGGCCCTCAGTGAGACGGATGGGGGGCCGGAAAGGGGAATGGAGTGGGAAGGTGATTTTCCCCTGGAGGCGGGCCACCCAGTAGCTGGTCTCTTCTCCAATCACCCCTGTCTAAACTTCCCTCGGTATTCAGGTGTTCCTCCTCTTCTTTCTCTCTCTGCCATATCGTTCCACTGTCCATCGGCTTATCAGCTGGTCTGCTGGTCTGCTCCTGCAGTTCAGGGTTTACACGGTTGCAAGATAGGGGGTGTGGAAGGCCAAAAGGCAACTTTTTGGGCACATTCTACAAAGGAACACTGAGGCATTCTACACAGCAATTCTGTGGTCTTCACACCGTGCTCAGGTCAGGAAGGTGAAGAGAAGACAGAGAGACTTTGTGGGTTTCAGGACACTGAAGAACCGTGACAACTGAATAAAGCACATGGCTGGGAAACCGATCCTTTGCTATAAAGGACACTACTGGGGCATTGGGTACATTTTGCATAGGGCCTGAAGGCTATTTGGAGTTATTGTATCAGTGTTAATTTCTTGATTATAGTTATAATAGAAAACTGTCTTTGTATGAAACAGTCAATAACGTATTGGGGTGTTGGGGTTTCATGTTGACAATCTACGCTCATAGATACAGGAAAAAATATTTGTACTGTGCTGGCAATTTTTCTGTAAATTTGATGTTTCAAGATAATAAAAAGAAAAAGGAAACTGAGGTTCAAAATGTTATATAACCTGACTGAGTCCACATGGGTAATAAGTGACAGCTCTGGGTCAAAACTCCAGTGCCTTTCCCCGAAAGCCATGCCCTGCCCCGCCAACCACATCCAAGGTCCTCCACATCCGAGTTGGCCTCTGTTCCTGCTCATCACCTGCAAAACAGCCCTGACTCCCCACAGCCGAGTTGCTGGAACTGCTCCCCACATGCCCTGCCCTGCCCTGCTCTGACCTGGCTCCCCCATCCCACACGTGGCCCAGCACCCACCTCACGATGTGGCAGGCAGCACTGGGGCAGCTAAAAGACTCCATGCTGCAAATCAGCACTGCCCGGCTTTCTGCTCCCAGGAGTGAGGTCCATTGGCTGAGCTCTCACTCTCTGGAAGAGCTCCAGACTCCTCCTCAAGAGTGTGAGATTTTTCAAACCAATTTCAAATAAGCCGGGGGAGGTTTTCCTGTCTTGGTTCCCATCATTACCACCTCCACAGTTGGAGATTCCCTCCTAATTGAGACACTTGAACCAGGACCTCACCAGCTAGGGCTTCATATATCACTGGGCCACTTAACATAGTCACCATTCCAGGTTGCCAGACATCACCTAAGACAGTTCTGCCACAGACGGAAACTGTGGCTCTCCTGTGATCTTCCAGGTGCTTCCCTGACTCCTCCAGTGAACACTCCAGGGCAGAGGGAAGTGGAACCTGCAACATATTTGCCTGCCACTCTGCCCATGCACACACCAACTCGGCTGCAGGCTCCAGGGACACGAGCTGGAGGGGCCTAATGCTCAGAACTGAGCCAGGTCACAGGGCAGACAGGTTGCCTAGACCAACCTGACCTCCCTCAGCTGGAGCAGTGACATCTTCGTTGTCTGAAACTAAACCAGGAACCCAGTGGGGTTCCCTGAGTGCCTGTGTAAGGGCTCTCAGCGTTCACTGCTAAGGAGCTTGCTAGGGACAGGGTGGGTGACCTCAGCCAGGTGGGAATTTCTCTTCTTATGGACCTGGAGTTTCTCTTTGGCAGCTTCTGTGCTCCCCTCAAGGGTCCTTTGCGATCCTCCAGCCTGAGTGCTCTGTGAGAAAATGTGGTGTGTAAACACCATGCCTATTTCCTGCCTGGAGCACATGTTTTGGGGTAGGGCTCTCAGGGGTGTGGAGGAAGCCTGGCAGCCCCAACCCCTATAAATGCTGCTGTCTACCTTGCCCTCTGACTTGGAGGCAGAGACCCATGCAGCTGAAGGCTCTGTGTGTGGGTGAGTTTAGCTCCACCCCCTGGATGTTCTCCAGCATGAGGATTGCAGGCAGAGAGGACCAGCCCAGCAGCCACAGGCCTGACAAAGGCCCAGCTGGGAAGAAGGGTGACTCCCCATCCCCCACTGGGAGGTGTTCATGGCACAGTCAACATGGGTGACCTGCAAAGACCCTCATGCTTTGATATCTTCCTTAGCCAGGTCCATCTCTACAAGGGCTCAGCAGAACCTACAGGAGGGGGAATGAGAGAACAGAACCCAAGGAGAAGGGGGATACTCCATGACTGACCACCTTGAGGGGCCAGGCTGTGGGCCCCGCTTATCCCTTTTCATTCTCAGGTCCCTGATCTTTTAGAGCCTAAAAAGAAGGTAACTGAGCATATGAGGGTCAGATGAGTGAGTCAGTGAGTGAATGACCTCATCTTTCCTCTTACCAGCCAGGGAGGGACAGGGGAGGTTGTCTGCAGAGCACTGAAGATTCAGCTGAAGTCAGAGAGGTGAAGCCAGTTCCCCAGGGTAACATGGTGGAGCACCAACAGAGAGGAGACTGCATTGCAGCCCAGGTCCCCGGGCTCCCCAAAACTCCTTACTCTTCCTCCTCCTCAGCAGCCTGGGGACCCCACCACCTCCAGCCTGAGGCCTGAGGCATGAGGCCATGCCAGGTGCCAGATGATGCTGGGAATTTTCCATTGTTGGATCTTCCCAGTGCTCTGGTCTCACCTGCCCTGGCTTGGGCTCTGCCCAGCTTCCTGAGTCCTGACAGAGCACTATGGGGGAGGTGTTGGCAGAGGTGGCAGATGAGCTCTGAAAACTGACCCTCCTGCAGGAGCAGCAGCTGGAGCTGGAGCCATGTGGCTGAGCCCACTGGCCTTCACCCTTATCTTGATGGAAGCCTCTGGCACTGTGTGTGAAGTGAAGGATGTTTGTGTTGGAAGCCCTGGTATCCCCGGCATTCCTGGATCCCACGGTCTGCCAGGCAGGGATGGAAGAGATGGTGCCAAAGGAGACCCTGGCCCTCCAGGTACTGTGCTGAAGACCCTGCCCTCAGCTGTGGGACACAGACCCCTTTTCAGGAGGCCCATCTGTCCATGCCCATAGGCTGGGGGCCATAGTGAGCTGGGTGGAACCTGGTGGGTTCCTGGGGCCCTTAGGCTGGCCCATCCTGGAGAGTCTGTCCTCAGAGTGCCCATGGAATGATAACTGAGTCAGCCCTAGTGATAATGGGGGTCGAATCTCACTAGCTCCAACCCAGTTGTGGGTGACAGATCCCATACATCCATATTCCTTTTCTCTGCAGGCCCCACGGGTCCCCCTGGAGATATGCCTGGTTCTCCTGGGAATGATGGGCTCCCTGGCATCCCTGGAGAGTGTGGAGAGAAGGGAGAGCCTGGTGAGAGGGGCCCTCCAGGTGAGCAGGGTGGGGCAGGTGGGCAGTGGGAGGATGGGCACAGCGACCCTGAAGTCAGTTGCACAGGGAGGACAGGGATCAGACAAACCCTGCTGGTTCCCCAAGGCCATTTGGCTCAACCTACTTAAGAGAACATGAGCTTGAGGAAGAAAGCCAACATATCTGGGGAGTGTGGTCACAATTCAGGGAAGGGCAGATGTAGGAAGTCCTCCCTGCCTCCTGACTCCCAACAAGGAGTCACTGAGTCAGGTGTGGGACAGGGACAGTGCTGGGAGGCAGGGCCGGCACGTCCTGAGACAGAGGTGCTGGAGGCAGTCTGAAGGGTGAATGCAGACCAGGCATCCAGGAAGATGGTGTGACCGGGAGCCCCACAGGCAGAGGGGAGCTTGGACACTCTGAGTGGTAATCAAGTCCATCGGGGCAGTGCAGAGAGCATCAGGCTTGCCCTTGGTGGAGGGTGTGGGAGAGGGACCTGCCCAGAAGGCAGAACACCCCACAGGGGAGGGCAGACAAAGCCACTTGAGGGACAGAGCAGGAAAGAGGACAAGGGGTGGAGGTTCAGCAGGGGCAAGTCTAGTCTGCATTAAAGAATGGGGAAGCAGGGATGTGGAAACACACTGGAGTCTCCTGGACCCTCTGAACTGAGGTCCTGGGCAGTGCATATGAGCAATGAGAGGACAGAGCTCCAGGATTGCAGATGGCAAAACGCCTGCGTGGCAGCAAGTGGGGGTCTTCACTGGCCTGCCCCTCATTCTGTGTGGGGCTCTCTCCACAGGGCTTCCAGCTCATCTGGACAAGGAGCTCCAAGCCACACTCCAGGACTTCAGACACCAAATCCTGCAGACAAGGGGAGGTAAGGGGACCCCTGAACCTCAGAGGGTAGGGGTCTCCCACAAGTTCCCCTCATTCTCAGCACCAGCTTCTAGAACTTAGAGATGAAAAACAAGAGTGCACATTCAGGTCTTGGGGAAAGGAATGATGTGTGCTTTTCTGATGTCTTTGAATGGCCCGGAGGAGACAGAAGCAGACACAATTCACTCCCCATTTCATAGGAGAGCAAGTTCTCTGCCTGCCTTGCTTTCCACTGAATCCCCGGAAATGGCACCATTTCTGGCAATAAGTAGTTGTTAAATAGATGAGTGAATAAATGGATGAAAGCCTAGAAGGGAATTTAGAAAACTAGGATTGGAAGAGGAAGAGAAGACACAGAGAGAGGCAGAGATGAGATGGAGACACCAGGAGAGTCCTGTGGCAGAGAACCCAGGTAAGAGAGATGGCTTAGAGACAGAGCTGTCAGTGGCCTGACCCAGACTCCTCTGCTTTCAGCCCTCAGTCTGCAGGGTTCCATACTGGCAGTGGGAGAGAAGGTCTTTGCCACCAATGGGCAGTCTGTCACTTTTGATGCCACTCAAGAGGCATGCGCCAGAGCAGGTGGCAGCATTGCTGTCCCAAGGAGTCCAGAGGAAAATGAGGCCATTGCAAGCTTCGTAAAGAAGCACAACACATATGCCTACGTGGGCCTGACTGAGGGTCCTAGCCCTGGAGACTTCCGCTACTCAGACGGGACCCCTGTAAACTACACCAACTGGTATCCAGGGCAGCCCGCGGGTCAGGGAAAAGAGACATGCGTGGAGATGTACACAGATGGGCAGTGGAATGACAAGAGCTGCCTGCACTACCGACTGACCATCTGTGAGTTCTGAGAGGCGTTTAGGCCACGGGACAGGGAGGACCCTGTTCTGGCCATCAGCCTCCATCCCAACTCTTCACTTGTTGTGTGAGATGCTGGAACTCCCTTTCAATAGAATTTACTTGTGGCCATTAAGTCTGGAGGCATCCGTAGCCACTTCATTCCCCTGATGGGACCTGACTCTTCCCCATAATCACTGACCAGCCTTGACACTCCCCTTGCAAACCCTCCCAGCCCTGTACCCCAGGCGACTCCTAACCTTGGCCTTCAGCATGAGATGGAACCTTGCTCATTCCCCATCTGGTCTAGCTCCTTCACTTACAGATGGCAGCAGTGAGGTCTTGGGGTAGAAGGACCCTCTGAAGTCACACAGTGTGCCTGCCTCCTGGTCCCCTCTGCTCTCCCTCTGCAGCTCACTGCCTGCCCAGTGCCATCACGATGAGCATTCCTGGCCAAGCATAATGACAGAGAGAGGCGGACTTCAGGGAAGCCCTGGCTGTGTGGAGCTGAGGACACAGTGGAGATTCTCTGGCACTCTGAGGTCTCTGTGGCAGACCTGATCAGGCTCTCCATGAGGTCAGAGGGCCCAGGGGTGCCCCAGAACAGTGGTGGCCAAGCCAACCCCATGATGGACATGTACAATTCATTCCTTTGAGTCTTTGAATGCCAACTCAACCACCTGACCTGAAGACAGCCAGCCTAGGCCTCTAGGGAAGAGCCCGCTCCCAAGTAAGTTTCAACTGATGGATGAATCTGAACCCCACATCAGACTTCAGGGAGCATTCACACCACCCCCACACCACTGGCTCTGCTTTCTCTTTTCATTAATCCATTTATCCAGATATTTCATTAAAGTCATTATGTGCCAGGTCTTAGGATATGTCCTGGGGTGGGCAAGGTACCCAGAAGCGATTGAGGATTTTTTTTCCCTGAGCCTATATCTTCATCTGTGAAATGGGCATAAAATACTTGATGTTGTCACAGTTATTACCCCTCCCAGCTACAAAAGTTACTACACATAGAGGCTATTGACCAAGCACATACCAGGTGGCAAGCATTTTGACAAGCACTTTTAATACAGCTTATTATTTACTATTCAATCTTCACACAATGTCACGGGACCAGTAGTTTTCCCCATTTTTATAAGGCCACTGAAGCTTAGAGCAGTTAAATGTTTTGAGTGTTATTTCAGACAGCAAAAGGCAGAGGCTGAATCCAAACCTATCTTCCTGAATCTGAAGCTCGTGCTACCAGCCACCCCACCCCTGAGCTGAACAAAGATGATTTAAGCATAATAAATCATGAATGTGTTCACATGAGTTTCCATAGTGGTGGTTATAAGAAACATTATATTTCTGTATTTTTTGTAAATCAAATGAACTCTGGCTCCGAGCCCCCACTTTTCTGAAGATAGGAAAATTCAATCTCGGAATGTGCTTTCTTTGGTGGGAGGGGCCACCTGCTCTCCTCCCTGAGATGGTGCAGGGGGATGGGGAGCTACAGACACCATTTGGAAGAACACATGGGCATCATGAATCCACATGGTCCATTTGTGGGTGGGGATACTGTGCCTTCTGTCCCCCACTCAGCCACCTGAATGATTTCTGCAGCCCAGCAGTGATGGTGGCACTCAGGGCTCAGTCCCAGGTCTCAGTGAGCCCTTGGAGTCTCAGGTCTGCGTGGAATAGGACCACACTCCCATGACCCAGAGCTGCACAGAAATGAGGTCATGTTCCTACTTACTTGAGGGGGCAGCCACATATGTGTCCCACCTCCCACTTCTCCCCCTGTAACACCTGTGAACACCTTCCTCAGTGCATTTATTGCTTTTCTTGGGCAGAAGGAAGCTCTGGATCAACACTCAGAAAACCAATGGGAATGAGGGAAACAATTTCACAGTCCTTTCTGAATGACAATTTTTAATCTGATTATCATTCCTCATGTGCTTAGGACCCAGCACACAAGTTATTCAGGCTTCTTCAAAATTAAGAAAAAAGCAAGCAGAAACATTTACAGATGTTTCTCGAGTTATGATGGGGTGACAAAATCAATGTGGAAAAATCACTAGCATCCCTATACACCAATAACAGGCAGGCTAAGAGCCAAATCGTGAATGAACTCCCATCACAATTGCCACAAAAAAAATAAAATACCTAGAATACACCTAAGAAGGGAAGTGAAGAATCTTTTCAAGGAGAACTACAAACCACTGCTCAAAGAAATAAGATGACACAAACAAATGGAAAAACATTCCATTTCCATGGATAGAAAGAATCAATATCATGAAAATGGCCATACTGCTTAAAGCAATTTATAGGTTCAATGCTATTGCTATTCTCATTAAACTACCATTGACATTATTCACAAAATTAGATAAAACTATTATAAAATTCATATGGAACCAAGAAAGAGCCCGAATAGCCAAGACAATCCTAAACAAAAAGAACAAAGCTGGATGCATCATGCTACCCAACTTCAAACTACCCTGCAAGGCTACAGTAACCAAAACAGCATGGTATTGGTACAAGAACAGACATATAGACCAGTGGAACAAAATAGAGAACCCAGAAATAGGACCACATACCTACAACTATCTGATCTTTGACAAACCTGACAAAAACAAGCAATAGGGAAAGGATATCCTATTTAATAAATGGTGCTGGGATAACTGGCCAGCCATAGGCAGAAAATTGAAACTGGACCCTTTCCTTACACCACATTCAAAAATCAACTTAACTGGATTAAAGACCAAAATGTAAAACCCAAAACTATAAAAACTCTAGAAGAAAACCTAGGCAATACCATTCAAGACATAGGCACGGGGAAAGATTTAATGATGAACACACCAAAAGCAATTGCAATGAAATTAAAAATTGATAAATAGGATCTAATTAAACTAAAGAGCTTCTGCACAGTAAAAGAAACTATTAAAAGAGTAAACAGACAACTGCAAAATGAGAGAAAATTTTTGTCAACTGTGCACATTGATTTTGTATCCTGAGCCTTTGCTAGAGTTGCTTATTAGCTCAAAAAGCTTTTGGGTTTTTCTAGAAATCGGATCATGTCATCTGCAAACAAAGATAGTTTGACTTCCTTTCCTCCTATTTGAATACTCTTTATTTATTTCTCTTTCCTGATTGCCCTGCCAGAATTTCCAATACTACATTGAATAGGAGTGTGAGAGAGGGTGTCTTTGTCTTATGCTGGTTTTCAAGGAAATGCCTCCAGCTTTTGCCTGTTTAATATAATATTGGCCATGGGCTTGTCATTTATGGCTCTCATTATATTGAGATATGTTCCTTCAATACCTAGTTTCCTGAGAATTTTTAACATGATGGGATGATTAATTTTTTCAAAGGCCTTTTTTCATCTATTGAGGTAATCATGTGGTTTTTGTCTTTAGTTCTGTTTATGTAATGAATCACTTTTATTGATTGGCATATATTAAACCAATCTCACATCCTGGTGATGAAGTCAACTTGATTGTGGTGGATAAGCTTTTTGATATGTTGCTTGATTTGGTTTGCCAGTATTTTGTTAAGGATTTTTGCATCAATGTTCATCAAGAATATTGGCCTGAAATTTTCTTTTTTGTTGTATTTCTGATATCAAAATGATACTGGCCTCACAGAATGAGTTAGGGAGGAGTCTCTTCTTTTCAATTTTTTGGAATAGTTTCAGTAGGAATGGTACCAGCTCTTCTTTGTACCTCTGGTAGAATTAAGCTGTAACTCCATCTGGTCCTGGGGTTTTTTAGGTTGGCAGGTTATTTATTACTGCCTCAATTTCAGAATTCATTATTGGTCTATTCAGGGATTCCATTTCTTCCTTGTTCAGTCTTGGGAGGGAATATATGTCCAGGAATTTATCCATTTCTTCTAGATTTTCTAGTTCATGTGCGTGGAGATATTTATAGTATTCTCTGATAGTTGTTTGTATTTCTCTGGGATCAGTGGCAATATCCCCCTTATTGTTTCTTATTGTGTCTACTTGAATCTTCTCTTCTTTATCAGTCTAGCTAGTGATCTATCTGTTTTATTTTTTATTTTTTTTTCCAAAAATCCAGCTCCTGGATTTGTTGATTTTCTTAAGAGTTTTTCATGTCTTGATGTCCTTCAGTTTTGCTCTGATCTTGGTCATTTATTGTCTTCTGCTAGCTTTGGGGTTTATTTGCTCTTAGTTCTTTTAGTTGTGATGTTAGATTGTTAACTTTCTAGCTTTTTGATGTGGGCATTTAGTGCTATAAATTTTCCTCTTAACACTACTTTAGCTGTGTCCCAGGGATTCTGGTACATTGTATCTTTGTTCTCATTAGTTTTAAAGAACTTTTTGATTTATGCCTTAATTTTATTTCAGAAGCAGGTTGTTCAATTTCCATGTACTTGTGTGGTTTTAAGTGAATTTCTTAACCTCGAGCTCTAATTTGATTGCATTGTTGTCTGAGAGACTGTTATTATGTCAGTTCTTTTTCATTTGTTGAGGAGTGTTTTACTTGATTTGTTTGATCAATTTTAGAGTAAGTATCATGTGTCAATGAGAAGAATGTATATTCTGTTGTTTTGGGATGGAGAGTTCTGTAGATATCTAACAGGTCCACTTGACCCAGAGCTGAGTTCAGGTCCTGAATATCTTTGTTAATTTTCTGTCTCAATTATCTATCTAATTTGACAGTGGGGTGTTAAAGTCTCCCACTATTATTTTGTGGGAGTCTAAGTCTCTTTCAAGGTCTCTAAGAACTTGCTTTATGAATCTGAGTCCTCCAGTATTGGGCACATATATATTTAGGATAGTTATCTCTTCTTTTTGAATTGAACTCTTTACCACTGTGTAATGCCCGTTTTTTTTTTTAATCTTTGTAGGTTTAAAATCTGTTTTGTCAGAAACTATAATTGCAGCCCCTGCGCTTTTCTGCTTTTTATTTGCTTAGTAAATTTTCCTCCATCCCTTTACTTTGAGCCTATGTGTGTCTTTGCATGTGAGATGGGTCTCTTGGAGGTAGCATACCTGATGGGTTTTCTGTTTTTTGTGGGTTTTTTTGTTGTTTTTTGGGGAATTTTTTGCCCTACAGTCTGGCATGTGAACCATGATGGGTCTTAATTCTTTATCCAGTTTGCCATTCTGTGTCTTTTAATTGGAGTCAGTTAGGCCATTTATATTTAAGAATGGTATTGATAAGTGGGGATTTGATCCTGCCATCATGATGATGGCTGCTTATTTTGCAGACTTGTTTATGTGGTTGCTTCATAGTTTCACTACTCTGTGTCTTTCAGTATGTTTTTGTAGTGGCTGGTACCAGTTTTCCTTTCCATATTTTGTGCTTCCTTCAGGAACTCTTACAAAGCAGGCCTGATCAGGATGAATGCCCTCAGCATTTTCTTGTCTGAAAAGGATTTTATTTCTCCTTCGTTTATGAAGCTTAGTTTGGTCACATATAAAATTCTTGGTTGGAAATTCTTTTTTGAAGAAAGTTGACTATTGGCCCTCAATCTTTTCTGGCCTGTAGGGTTTCCACTGAGAGATCCACTTGTTAGTCTGTTAGATTTCCCTTTGTAGGTGGCCTGGCCTTTCTTTCAGGCTGCCCTTAACATTTTTCTTTCATTTTGAACTTGGAGAATCTGATTATTTTGTGTCTTGGAAATGGTATTCTCACGAATTATCTTACTGGGGTTCTCTGTGTTTCCTTAATTTGAACATTAGCCTGTTTTGCTAGGTTGGGGAATTTCTCCTGGATGATATCCTGAAGTATGTTTTCCAACTTGGTTCCATTCTCCCCATCACTTTCAGGTACCCCAATCAGTCATAGATTCAGTCTCTTTGCATAATTCCACATTTCTCGGAGGTTTTGTTTATTTCTTTTCATTCTTTTGTGTCTGTTTTTGTCTGCCTGGCTTAATTCAGAAAGTAAGTTTTCCAGCTCTGAGATGCTTTCCTCTGCTCTGTCTATTCTGCTATTAATACTTGTAATTGCACTGTGAAGTTCTTGTAGTGTGTTTTTCAGCTTTAACAGGTTGGTTATGTTTCTCTCAAAACTGGCTGTTTTGGCTGTCAGTTCCCATGTCATTTTATCAAGATTCTTAGCTTCTTTGCATTGGATTGCAATGTGCTCCTGTAGCTCTGCAAAATTTGTTATTAACCAGCTTCTGAGGCCTACTTCTGTCCTTTCAGACATCTCAGCCTCAGCCCGCTTCTGTGCCCTTGCTGAAGAGGTGTTGCTGTCATTTGGAAAAAAGGGGGCACTCTGACTTTTTGAGTTTTCAGCATTTTTGCATTGATTCTTTCTAATCTTTGCTGGTTTACCTACCTTTGATCTTTGATGTTG